CGTGTTTCTCCTGGACTAATTGTTCGATTCTGATGTTCGAGTGCTCATTCTTTTAAGAAATCAATGATCTAAAATTGTATCGGTCCTGATTGGAAGAATAAACATTTTTTTATCCGCCAGAGATTTTTGGAAATCACAAAAATTCTGGATTCTCCACCATTTTGTTTCTTTCAATTATTGGATTTTCAAATGTTCCATTGTGTACAACAGTTCGTTATCTTAGAAATAACTCTAAGAAATCCAAATTCGATTGAATTTTCATGAAGCCTGAAGCAAAATAATAATAATCGTTCATTCGAGATTAGCACATTCACTCCATAACAAATTGCAAAGAAATGAGTGTATCTACTGGACTGTTCGATTTCGATGTTCGAGTACTCATTCTCTTCAGAAATGAATAGCCTAAAATAACATCGGTACAGGTTAGAAAAAATCTGATTTTCTTTTTCTCCAGCGGTTTTTGTAAATGACAATACTTTGGTAGAATCCGTCATCTTGTTTTTTTTTTCATTATGAGATTTTCAAATACTCCACTGTATACTATAGCCCTTTAGCTTTGAAACGACGCCAAGAAATTCGAAGTCGGTTGAGAAATAATGAGGTGAACCACGAGGAAAATGAAAACTTCCGGTTTTTTTGTGACCACCCGATATATATATAAAATATTTATAATAATAATAATAATAATGAATGATTCTAGTGAGTCAGCATTAATGTACAATAGGTATTATTATACATATATGTTTCTCAAACGGCAGAGCTCAATTTCACGATTAGATCGCAAATTGCTCTTCCACTCAACCGTAATAAGGAGTTCATCCATTGATATGCATGAGCTCCTTCCTAATCTGAATATTTATATATATTTTCCTGAATAGTTATGAAATCATTCTATATACCAATATTTACACAAACCTTTACAGAAGTTCTATTTTTTCAAATTGAAGTGGGGCTTTTCAAAAAAATAATTTTTCATATATACAGTGTGTCCACCTTAAGGACTTACCACCCCTGTGAAATCGTTATTATCCGACCAATTTCAAAAAACCTTTTTTTGTTGGATAGGTATTTGAAATGCCCATCCAACGAGAGAGTGATCTAATTCTTGGACTGTTATCGTGGCCAACTGCGACAAATTTCAATGACCCATATACTATTAGGGATTTTTTTCCACGAAACTTGATGATGGATTCTGAATCAGTACCACTTGAAATATACCTGTACCGATTTTCATCATCATAAAACACAGGGTGTCCGAAAAAACGAATCATCGTTTTCTTCAAATAGGTGATCAGCAAATGTAGTTCTGTGGTTTTTCTAGAAAGAAATAATCACAAATTATCATTGAGGATTATTTCAAATATACCTGTACCAATTTTCGTCTTTTGAATATACAACAAAAAAATTAAAAAGGATAGGTAAGCAATATTTTTCATCCTGATAATTCTTCACTCAAAATAGAAAAATGAATCAGGATCACTTGGAACATACCTGTACCGATTTTCATCATCATTAAACACAGGGTGTTCGAAAAATCAAATTAATATTTTTTTTGAGTTCATGAAAAAATATTGGCTACTTTTCCTTTTTAATTATTTTTTTATACACATCGTATTTTTGAATGATGAAAATCGGTACAGATATGTTTAAAGTGATCCACAATAATAATGTGTCATCAATTCTTTAAAAAAAAACACAATAGGTACTACATTTTCTAATCACCTATTAAAAAAAAACAAAATTCGTTTTTTCGGACACCCTGTGTTTTATGATGATGAAAATCAGTAAAGGTGTTTTTCAAGTGATCGTGATTCAGAATCCATCATTGTTTTTTGTGAAAAAAAATCCCTAATAATAGTACTTTCTCAAATATGGGTCAAAAAAGTTGGTCGCAGTTGGCCACGATTACAGTTCATGAGTAAAATCATTCTCTTGTTGGATAGACATTTCAAATACCTATCCAACAAAAAAAAGTTCTTTGAAATCGGTCAGATAATAACAATTTTACAGGGGTGGTAAGTCCTTAAGGTGGACACACTGTATATCCATTTTTTAATTTCATAATTATATCTGAGAATATTCCTTTTCAATACTGTCACACAATCAAGGGGTTCAAACTTGAACGAAGGAAACTTGTCAGTTTTATAGACCTTCATTCGCAAATTCGTGATTAGGTTTCCTCAAATCGGAATTCCTTTCCAAAAAATTCGAGGTTAGACCCCTTTTTGCACCCAAAGTTCTACACTGTAGCAAATCTGAAATTTTGTTAATTTTTTGGAACGACATCTCTCGTTAATGGGCGTGTACACCTTAGCAGAACTTTTAACTCAAACCATGTTTATAATGATCCTTTTATACATAAATAATGATTGACGACATAATTCGATCAAAAAATTAACTGGAATGTTTTATTTTTAGACATAAATAATAGTACCTTCTGAAAACGGACCCCCTTATGACGTAGAAACCTCATCTCGCCATAGTTAAAAGAAAATACCAAACGCCCGACGGAGACTGAGGCAACTGATATATTAATTCTTTCAACTGTGATCTCGCGCTGATTCACTCTGTCAGAAATCATGTATCATTCATCTCTGTCTGGAATAGTCTTGTTTCAGTATTAGGGTTTTGACGTCACATCATCGCCTCTTTTTCAGAGGTCCGAAAAATCGGGGATTTCAATAATTTTTTATAAAACGTAGGGTGCTCACAGCAAGAAACGGTTTGCGGTGGTGAGCTAGTTTGGGTGAGTTCTATCGAATTATGAAATAATTTTTTTTTTGTGATATAAGCCCATTAGAAGAATTAGAAAACATCTGATATCATGGGATTAGTCCTTAGACTGTATCATATCGATGTGCTGAATATGTGCACTTATTTCAAAAACACCTTGTATATATGAAGGAATACAATGAGAATTTGCATTCTATATGAGTGATGAAAATATCAATTCTTTCTCGGTTTATTCAACAGAATACAACTACTTTCCTGGCAATATGCCACGGCGAACATTGAATCACATCTATTGAACATACACGATGATAATTTGAAAACAAAATCTTCTGAAGTCGAGAATTTGCATTCTCCCTTAAAGATATGCACACAATATCATTCTAAATATTCAACAGAAAACAAGTACTTTTTCCTACGACCACCTATGAAAACAGCATAAATCACACCACTTTGTTATTTAGAAAGTAGCTCATGTCACCATAGTAATGCATAAGTTCGAAAGTGATTCTCACGTGTGTTCAAATATTAAAAAAACTCACGCTCACCACACAAGGTTTAGGAAGGTATATGATGTACTCACTTGGTAAATGAATTACTATAGGTATTTATCATACGTCCATTGAAATACATTCATTTTCATTATTTTATAACTTTTATCATTTCGCATCTTAATCAGGTTCATGTTTCTTTGTCATTCATAATAAATTAATAAATCATATATCGCGAGACATAACCTCGTTGCTGTCTACAACAGCGCTTGGGTCATCTATCGGGTAAGCTTGTAACTGCTAATGTTAATGTTGAGTTATTGTTAAATTAATGTTGAGCTAATGGTAGGTTAATGTTGAAGTAATGTAAAGGTAAATTAAGTTATGGTCAAGTTAATGGAAAGTTAGTGTCGTTTTAACATAAGTTATTGTCGTTAATGTTGATGAAAAGTTGAAATCAAGTTAATTTCAATTGAAATTTGAATTAATGTCAATGTATCGGCAATTTTGTGTTTGATGTGAAGTTAATGTCGATTTGATATTGAGTTAATGTTAGTTTGATTTTATGGTAATGTTAAGTTAATTTTGAGTTAATGTTGATTCAATGTTGAGTTAATGTTGAATAATAATTATTGAGTTAATGACTCAATGGTGAATGCCTTGATTATATGAATACTCAATGGTTAATGTTAAGTTGATGTTGAGTCAATTTCAGGTTAATTTTAAGTTAATGTTAAGATGATGTTAAGTCAATGTTAGGTTAATTTTGAATTAATGTTAAGTTGATGTTTAGTTAACGTTAAGCTAGAAAGTTGACGAATAGACCTCTAGTATAGAAACATCAGTATTGTGTCAGACAGTCAGGCTGCTTTTAAAAGCACTGAGTTTCAGCAAGATGAATTACAAGCTTGTATGGAGCTGTATTGAATCCATAGAAGTCTGGGTGCAAATAACAGAGTTACTTGTGGGTGCCTGGACACCAGGGGGTGGAGGGTAACGAGAAAGCCGACATCCTCGCCAAACAGGGAACCGAATCTGTGTTCATAGGACCAGAACCATATTTTGGGGTCACCGCAAGTGCGGCGAAAACAACTATCTCGGGCTGGGCGGAGGGAAAAACACTCACGTACTGGTCTGAATTACCAGGATTAACCCATTCGAAGGCGTTCCTGCCTAAACCATCGGAAAAAATAACCAGGCAGATCCTAGAATGGAGCAGGGGTAACCTGCGAATTCTGACTGGACTGCTTACGGGACACTGTCGTCTAAGATACCACCTGGGAAGGATGGGTCTGAACCAACAAACGGACTGTCGGTTCTATTGTGTGGAAGACGATAAACTTTGTGAAAAGATGTGGATTGTACGGTGAACTGTAACCTCTAGGGGTGAGCCACAATATAGACCCATCTGGGGTCGCAGTGGAGGGGAGGTATTCGCCACACTCACATGGAACCTAACCTAACCTAACGTTAAGCTAATGATGTCATTTGAATATTGAACTCATGACATACAATATAAATATTTGTGGTCGAAGGAAAGATAGTGTACAAAACTCGTTGGAAAGTGCATTTCCTGCGCTCGTTTCGTTTCCGCACTCGTCGCTCTGCGGCTCGTGCTAAACGTCCACTCGCGCAAAATATGTCACTTCCCACACTAGTTATGTTATATACTATTCTGGCTATTTGCCACGTCTAACATTGAATTATATCTGTTCATCATCCAAAAAGAGAGCATGAAAAATGGAAACAAAAATATTATTATCCTGCTTTCATTTCCAGGAGCATCAGCCAAAATGATAGCATTCGGATTGTTGGCTCTGGTAGCCTTTTCTGGAGTTTTCTCTGCCTCCGTCCCATTCCACCCCCTCTCCGATGAATACATCGACCACATCAACAGCCTCCAGACCACGTGGAAAGCTGGCAGGAATTTCCCCAAAGATATGCCCCTGTCCCACATCAAGCGTCGCCTGGGAGTACTCGAGAGCGAAAACACAGAGAATTTACAGACAGTTCACCATGTCAAAGCCGATGATGAGGTCATTCCTGATACCTTCGACGCTCGAGAACAGTGGCCGAGTTGTGAGTCCATCAGATTGATCAGAGATCAGTCGGACTGCGGATCATGCTGGGTAAGTCAGTACCGGTTTTACTAGAGTCCCTGTATATACCTTAGACCATATACGTATCAATAATCAATACGGATAATCTTTATCTGTTTCCATAGCGAAACATGAAGCCGATTTTTGAAGACAAATGACTATCCATAAGGAAAAGTGAGATACGATCAGACACATACTGCTTTGATTGAAAGGCTAGTAAACGTCATTGTCCACCGAAACGCATGTCATTGATGACTACGTATCATGCCACCAAATCCTTATGGATATTCATTTGTTTCATATTCTTGACTTCATCCTGGCACCCGTTATGATCCGTATTGTTTATTATTACGTATATGCCTTAGACAAGATTCCGGACACAAAACTGACAGCCGTTGGGGTTCTTAATATTTTGTTTCATTTGGTTTGCCCAGCTGACAATGTGACGAAACACCATAGTCGTCCCGCCCGTCTTTCATTTTTGTCACTGTCACTTCGAAATTATATGACCTCCAAAATTTAGCATTTTCAATTATTTCAATGTCCTGCTGCGTACATTATTGCGATAATTCATTAGAAAAGGGAATCAAGTTATTAAATTTTCCGAATTATCCTTTGAAGATAATGTCTTGAAAGAATGGAAAGAACGTCCAGAATGGAAAATTAATTTCAAGAAATCCGCAATATGTGAGGTAAATATTCAAATTTACTTGTAAAAACAGTACAAGAAAGATGAATTTTAGGCCCATCCTGATAGAGATTTTTTCAAGCTGATGGATTTCAAATTGAAAGAGTCTGCTGTGCCGTCAAGTCATAAAATAGAGACGTTCAAAAAAAAAATCCCGTCATCATCGTATTGGGAATTACTGGATGATACGATCGCAGAGAAAGAAAATGAGAATGAGATGATGCGGAAAGAAATTGAAAGTTTGAAATCAAAACTAGAAGATTTAGAGAAACTGCAATGTGGTATGTCATCAGTCCACGGTGTTTTCAATTCAGATCAAATTCAAAATTTACAGGTGAATGTAGATACTGCAGGGAGAGGTGGGAAACCGACACAATTAATAAAGCACTCGCTATCAAATATATTGTTGTTTTGATTTTGTCACTTTTATTTCTGATGAGTGTTATTATATCGAGAGAATCGGAGAAAATTATATTGAAATAATTATATATCTTCTATTTTTTTATATCCCAACAGAAAACAACTATATTTTCTTGGCTATATGTGATACCACGTAGAACACTTAAATTATCTTTCTTATATCTAATGAAGTGAAGAAATATCTGATAACGAAAATTTGCTATAGCCATCTCAGGAATTGATTATGAAAATTATCGATTCGAAATTTGAACACCCTGTTGTTCATTATTTGAAAATCTGATAGTTATTCTAGTTAAATAGCCCTATTTCCCACTACCTACGGCTATGAACGGTTTGACAAATAATCTAACCCCCTTAATTGTTTCTGACAAACATTTATACTATAGGGGAATTGAAAAGACAGAGCTCGATATAAATGTCTTATTCCTTTATTCAATCATCAATGCATTTTTTGAAAACAGAAAAGGACAGAGGTATAGCTGCGTCCGGACTCTTGTCTAAGGTATATACAGGGACTCTAGGTATATACAGGGACTCTAGGTGGAAAATAGTTCATTATATGCGAGTAGAATACTATACTACTATATAAATTGATTTTCAACAACTGTTATAACATAACTCATTTGGCATTGGGAAAACTAAAAATTGAAGATACCTGTTAATCAGTTGTCCACGACTGTACTACTTCCTCAAGCGAAACGATAGCCATTTTTCACACAAGTGAATGATAGCGGTGAATAACCATTATACACTGGTTTGAAGTTATTTATGTGAATACTACAGGGGAAAAAGGGGAAATGTCGCAATATACAGGGTGTCCCAAAATTGCTGGGACACAGAGCTACCACGTGTAGAGGAGGTCAAAATAAGTTGATTGGACCCAATTTATTTATTTGCCAAAATGTACCGTTTGTCCGTGAAAAGGGTTCAAAGTTCACTTGAAAAAACACATTTTTGTACGGTGTTCAGGAATAAGTGGAACGAATTTGATGAAATTTGGCAATAGTGTATTTCAGAGGATTACTTTCCTTTTGGTAATCTAAGAAACCTAAAAGAAATTGTAGAAGGGTTGAAACCACCCTCACCCTCTGACGTTTTCTTCAGAACTTTTTTAAGGGTCATGATACGGTTCTGAAATTTTTTGAGCTTGAAGATTCATCAATTACCTTCATTTTATCACTCCAGTAAAAATTTTTTATACCAAATAGTTTCGAAGAAAAAAAATGTTCTCTCAAATAATGCTACCAGATATTCCTATAGTACAAGTTTAATCAAATTGTGATATAAAACTTAGTTGGCAGTGGAAACAAAAGCAGAACGTTTTTTCACAATAAATGTTCAATATGACGCCCACCTTCATTAAAACAAATATCAATTCGACGTAAAAAATTGAAATGCACCCTCCTCAGGACATCGTCGTTGTCTCGTAGTGCGTCAACGGCATTTTGGATTCTGTTCCATAGCTGTTCGGAAGTTTCAATTTGAACTTCATACACTTGTGTTTTCAACGCTCCCCAGATGAAGAAGTCGCACGGATTCAAATCTGGAGACCGCGGAGGCCATTGAATAGGTGCTTCTTGTCCCCTACCAATCCATCTATCAGGAAATTGTTCGTTCAGATATTGTCTTACTGCACGTGCAAAATGAGGTGGTGCACCTTCGTGCATGAGGAACATGTTTCGACGAACATTGAGGGGAAAGTCCTCTAATAAATCTGGCAAAATTTCCTGAAGGTAACTAGCACCATCAAGGCGATCTGGCAATCGGATCGGCCCAGCCAAAAATGTTTCGATAAATCCGATCCAAACATTAATTTTAAATTCTCGTTGATAGTGTCTAGCTTTGATGGCATGTGGGTTTTTATCAGCATATACATGCTCATTGTGCAGGTTCGTCATGCCACGACGTGTAAAACAAGACCCATCAGTAAAAAAAATATTAGTATGAAATCTGTTGTCAAGTAGTCTGCGCTCCCGAACAATCCGTGAAAAATTTAAACGTGATCCGTGGTCAAGTGGTAATAACTCTTGCACAAACTGTATATGAAATGGATGTATTGATTGTTCTCTGCAGATCCTATTCACAGTGTTTTTTGGTATTCCTGTTTGTCGCTGCACAGATCTGGTACTTATCTCGGGATTGTCATTGATTATTTCAAGAACAGCTTCTTCCGTATTAGGTCTATGTCGGGGTCTCCCAGCGTTAATTCTGACTGGTTTCAACATCCCTGTTTCTCGAAGACGTCTCACAATTCGGGCAAAAGTTTTATGATTCGGAATTCTCACTAGCGTCTAGCGCAAGGAGATATTCCCATAAACACCGTAGTGGGAGAACCCCGCCAAGCGAGACGCGGACGCGGACAAACATCACCTATGCCTTCACCATAGACCTTCACCTATCGACATGCCCGACGAACGTTGGAGCGAAGGAGCGAAACAATAATGTGAAAATAATATTAGAAATATGAATTTAGGGTGAATCGGGTATATAGCTGCTTATTGTAACACGTTCATTCGTTAGGTAGTTATGTTCGGATAGTTTTTACAAGATCTAGCAGACTCTGTAGATAGGTAGGTGCATATCATGAACATCTCATATGGCTTGTGTTCGCTAAGACCTCAGAAATTTCCTCAAAATTGACGTTCAAGGTCGTGAAGCTCTATAGGTGCTGGAAATAAGGAATTTTGTCAGCTTCTTTTTGGGTACCGAGACACCCAGGTGTACCTGGAAATGAGGAGTACGAGAAGTGGTTCAGAATGAGAACAGGAAAGACAGTTCAGGTGTGGTTTGAAGCTACCCAGCCCGGTGGAAGCAGAAAGAGATCCACATATGAGAATTCGGGCATAAACATAAGAAGAACTTGTTCAGGTTATCACTTAGGAGTTGAGATCTGAAGATGGTTGTAAGGAGACTTGGTGGGATCTGTGTGTAGATGGTGTACACAAGAAGACAAAATTGTGAGCCATGTTCTTACGGTTGATCTAGCTGTGATTCGCCTGAAAAAAAACACATTTTGGGAACCTCGATTTTCAACACAGTGGATGTTGAGAGAATTTATTCGAAAAAAAGTATTGTCACGAAATGATAAACTATATACTTGATAAACCTGAAATGTCAAGACTAAGAGATTCTAGGGAAATTTCGTAAACCGATCATCAGCTGATGCAAGACAGACTGTTTCGACTTGCCATTAGTTCCACCTTGTTCCACCAGTTGGACTGGTCAGCTGACAATCGATTCACGAAGGGTACCTCCATATATAAAACAAGTCGAAGCCCTGAGGGGGCAGAAGGACGATCTAGCATTCATAGCCATCTAGTGGCCTAAGTGCAAAGGAGTATAGGTAGATTCATCAATCATACCTTGCGAGTAAGTCGTGCATATAGACCACTACGTCTATATGCTTACAGAAAAGACACCATGTCAGAATTTTGTAGAATATCGCAACACCTGTGTTTCTCAAAGTGGTTCAATGTTCCACTAACAGATGGTGATAAACCTAGAATGTCAAGACTAAGAGATTCTAAGGAAATTACGTGAATCGATCGTCAGCTGATGAAAAACAGACTGTTTCGACTTGCCATAAGTCTCATCAGTTGCACTGGCCAGATGACAACCGATTCACGAAGGGTACCTCCATATATTAAAAACTTGTTTAATATATGGAGGTACCCTTCGTGAGATATGATTGATGAATCTACCTACACACCTTTACACTTACATTTGATGGCTATGTAGGCTAGATCGTCCTTCTGCTCTCTCAGGGCTTCGACTTAACTATATACTTCACTAAATCCTCGATGCAGTCTCTTTTCTGGCTTGTGCGTTGACCTCAGAAAAAAAATCATGAATCCTCATCATTATTGTTATTGATGTTGCTGTTACTAATGATTATCCATTTTCCAGGCGGTATCTTCTGCAGCTGCCATGTCTGACAGAATCTGCATCTCTTCGAATGGAACCGATCAAACTTTGGTATCAGACGAGGATCTCATGTCCTGCTGTTCGAAGTGCGGTAATGGATGCGGTGGTGGATATCCAAATCGAGCTTGGGAATACTGGCAAAAAACAGGAATCGTCAGTGGAGGTCCATACAACAGTACAACTGTAAGTGAAGGGTGAAAGTGGGAGTGGAACCATTGTTAGAATCAGAATCAGAATCAGTTTATTCATCACAAAAACATTCGAATTCAATCAATACAGACCAAAAACGTATGCATATTTATAGGACTAGTAAAAAAAAACATATATGGGGCATAAATACACTTCAGAATTAATATTGAAATACAATTCAAATTACAAAAGTTGAATTAGTTTTAAAAATTGAGAAACTCCTCTACATTATAAAAAATATGTTCGGTTAATAAATGTTTAAGTTTGTTTCTGAAGGACATATTACAATTGGTATATTCTTTATCACATATATATTTGAACTCATTGTATAACTCAACTTCTACTATATAGTTGGGTGAATTCTGGCACATTTGAAGTCGAGAATACCTCTGATAGATATTATCTTTCATACGTGTGTCATACGAGTGCAAGTCCTCATTTTTTTTAAATTGTTTTTATTTTCTGTATGTAATTATTTGAAATATATATGAACAAGGCAATGTTAGTATTTGTGATTTTTAAATAAATATCTACATGTTGACATAGGATGTACGTTGAACATAGTTTTCAATATTTTTTTCTGTGCACTGAAAGCCTTATCAGCATGTGAAGATGACCCCCAGAACACTAGTCCATATTGTGAAACTGATTGAACATGACCAAATCAGAGTAGTTTTAATATGTCAAAAGAAACCGTTTCTCTAAGATTCCTGATCATGTAGCAACATGTGCTTAGCCGGGAGCATACAGTTTTTATATGAGCCTCCCACGATAACTTCGGGTCAAGAGTAACACCTAGAAATTCAATGTTATCTGTTGCCTTGATTGATTTGCTATTAATATGCAGGTAGAGATTATAGTTAGGTGTGACATTCCTTGGTATGAACCTCATGAAATATGTTTTTGTGTCGTCGGCATATAATATAATTTTATCAGGATAGTTGCAGTAGTTTTCGATATCAGAAGTGAATATGATGAAGAAGAAGGGTCCCAATATTGACCCTTGCGGTACTCCTAAATCGGATGCCCTCATTCCTGACTTAGTACTCAGATCATAAAATAGACATAATGGATTTTCTTTAGCGTTGAGTGATTTATACAGGAATTCAAGTGTATCATAGAATGCCACGCTTATCAATCAATCAATGAACTGAGTCTCAAATGTTATGGTGGCCTCTGATTGACTACGACAAAAGTGTCGTAGAATCCAGGTAGAACACTAATATTGGTTGAATATCGAACGAATAAAAAGTGAATGTTGGGAAAATATTGATTTCAAATATCAGACCAATGAATCAATGTGAACATTCTGGAATCTTGGTGCTTTGTTAAATTTGAATCTTGTTTTGATATGCTCTATCCAATATCGAGTTTATATTCGTATACAAGATTGGACAAAGATATTATGCCAACTTATAGAAACCGGTTTCTTATAATTCTCTTATGTAAATTCGATATTGAATTTATATTTGCCTATAATATTGGCCAAAATTAGGATGTGATCATTTTGCAATATTATCTTTATGTTGAATTATAAATTTCTATCAATAATACAATCTTATCAATTGTCATTCTCTGTATCCCAGAATAGCAAGTACAACGAATGCAGCAGTATTTGATCCCTTTGAGCAGTCGTTTGTTGGAGACGTGCTAGTGGCACCAGCTGTTATAACGTCGCTGAAATAATGGAATAAATATTACTAATATCGATTTGATATTGAAAAACCGATGTCAATGCAATATTGGTTCAGACATATTTCATTAGTTATATTTATCTGAAATGGGTCTTATATTGATGAACTAATATTGGCTTGATAAAAAATACAAATATGAAAATAATATTCGTAGCATATATCATGCAATATTCAATAATCATCTCGAACATAATATAGGAGGAATATTATTTTAATAACATTGATTCTATATTGAAAGCAATTCAAAAATAGTATAGATGTATGGGGCGCCTTTTGGTTCATAATTATTTTTTCGATATATAGACATTTCAACGCGATATATAGAAAAAATCCAATATCCTACGAACTCATCAATATTATATGCCAAATTTTTTATATCGTGTGAAAAATGTTCTATATATTTAAGTGCGACGAAATTTCAATTTATATTAGTATGCCTCGCGCCGTTTGGTTCATAATTATTATTTGTAATATATAAAATTTTTACTGAATTTGCGAGAGTTTATATTTGGTTGTAGCAGTGTGTGCAGAAATAGACTTTCGGGTTCCAGGGTTTACCGATAGGTGGCTGAACGCAGCTGGACGTCAGCACAGAATGAGGTTAGAGGATCTGGCAACACTAATATTATCATATTCTGGTTGTGTCCAAAATACTCATCTGCCTAGAATGGAGAAGAAATGGAGAAGAATGAGAATACATTTTTCTATTTTACATAATCTTTAACCTCACAATTATTTTTTTTATTTTTCGAGTAAAAATGTCATTCCCAACGGTTTCAGTGGAAGAGTTTCGCAATGAAATTGTTGAATATCACGATAATGTGGTGAATCTACTTTCTCAAGGAGATTCTTCAAGAGCCTTATCTCAAGCTCAGTGGAAAATTGAGGACTACTGTAGGTTGTTGAACATATTCATTGATAATATACTGGCCTGTGAAAGGTTGAAACAGTTAGTATCATCAGTTTACAATATACTGTTTGATATTTATGGTCGAATTGAGCATGTTCTCAACACTGTTGATTCGCAGGACCGAACCTATGTATATTTTACTTCATCAACTAGCAGTAACAGTGTTGGTCCCCCGAAGTATGATATATCAAAGGAACAATTAAGGATTTTAAGAACATCAGGTCTGAGTTATACCAGAATATCAGGATTACTTGGTGTTTCTAAAGCTACATTATATAGACACAGAATAGCAATGAATTTCTTAGAACCTCAGTGTTGCCAGATCCTCTAACCTCATTCTGTGCTGACGTCCAGCCGCGTTCAGCCATGCACCTATCGGTAAACCCTGGAACCCGAAAGTCTATTTCTGCACACACTGGTACAACCAAATATAAACTTTCGCGACGCGCAAATATAGACTTTCCTCACACGCAAATATATAAAGATTTCGTCATATATAAAATTTGTGCATTTGATATAGACTTTTTTCTGTATAAATTCAGTAAACATTTTATATATTACATATAATAATTATGAAGCAAACGGCGCGAGGCATACTAATATATATTGAAATTTCGTCGCACTTAAATATATAGAACATTTTTCACACGATATAAGAAATTTTGCATATAATATTGATAAGTTCGTATATTATATAGGATTTTTTCTATATATCGCGTTAAAATGTCTATATATCGAAAAAATAATTATGAACCAAACGGCGCCCCATATAGATGCGTGATATAATTTTCATTATATCGAATTGATATTAAAAAGCCAATATCAGTGCAATATTGCTAGACAATGAAATGCAATATTCACTTACCATCATAAATCTGATATTGATGCAAAATTTTTTCCAAGATTGATTCGATATTGGAAATACATCAATATCAGCCTATCATGAGAATTGACAAATTTTATCCTTTAATATTTCGCCAATATCAAATAAATATTTGCAAATTGATATCGGCTGGTCACAAAATTTTAATGTTATTATAACATTGGCACTGGATTGATTATTGGATCTCAAAGAGCCAATATCAGTGCGATATTGCTGGACAATGGAATGCAATATTCACTTACCATCATGAATCGGATATTGATGCAATATTTTTTCCCAAGTTTGATTCGATTTTGGAAATAATATATCATTCCATCATGAACATTGACATATTGTTATCGTTAATATTTCACCAATATCAAATAAATATTGGCAAATTGATGTCGGCTGGTCACGAAATTTTGATGTTACCACAACATTGGCACTGGATTGATGATCGAATATTGAAATGAACAATTGGTTAGATATTGGGACAATCTAGTTTTTCCATATTCAATATTCGAATATTGGGCTAATGTGAGACCATCAAGTTCTAGCCAATATGATGTTCTACCTGAGAAGGGGGCGGCTGTCTTTCACACTCCTACATTTCTTCTGATGTTCATGACTCGCTCGTTTATAGGGGTGCAGAGCCTACTCCCTGCCTCCCTGTGAACACGATGGCACTCCTGGCAGCCTTCCCCAATGCGATCCTAAGGGCTACGACACCCCCGAATGCGTTCGTAGTTGCGATAAAGGATCCACCTTATCCTACAAGGAATCAAAAACCTATGCTGTGGAGGCGTACACTATCACTGGAAATGTCGAGCAGATTCAGTTGGAAATACTGAAGTACGGTCCAGTGGCAGCTACCTTCCTTGTGTACACCGACTTTTTGTCTTACAAAACCGGTGAGTGAATTTTAAAATAGAATATGAAATTATGATTGTATGAATAGATAACCCCGCAACAGCTAAAATTGCAGTATCATCAAGTTCCAATTTGAATATGATTGGGATATCTTGCCATCATCAGTTCTCAGGAGCTCAACGTTTTCAACGTTCTCCTTTTCAAAACTCCTATTCCGTGGAATCTGGATTGGATACTAGAGAATTCAGCCAGTTCGATTTTGCAGATGCATATATCGCGCTCTCAGCCTGCAAGGTAGAGGTACTGGTACTGGTACTGGTGGGGGACGTTTGCACGTCAGCAACTAGTCCCCAATGGGCACCGCCCATCAGCTCTCTTTCAGAGTTTTTCGGCTGTGTTTTGTAGGCTAGTAATGTACTCACTTAGTCTACCATATACGCAGTGGCAGGCCTGCTAGCTATCCTCGCGCTCAGCTGGTAGTTTTCCACACCCACCTACATAACACCGTCCTACTTCTTCTCTGATGCTCACAACCACATCATCATCTCTTTCTGCGTGTTCTGTGTAGGCTTTGTTACTAACTCCATGCGCCACTTTGGGAGCAGCACTGTTAATTGGAACGCAACAGCGAATCGTGCAGGACTATCCCCAGCCGATGCTCCGAAACTTTACAATATTTAATTCATAAATAAAATATTGAAAAAAGTATAGTCCACCCAGCTCCGAGGTATAGTCCACCCAGCTCGTGCTGGGTGGACTATACCTCGGAGTATTTCTGTAGTAAGACTCATTCTCCATATCTCTGAGTTACATCAGTGGATTTAGCGCCATTCAGTTTCAATCCATCAGCTATGTACCGCCTTATAGCTCAGTTAAACGGTAACGATTAGGACCCAATCCGGGAAAAAATTCAAGTAGTCGGTTTCTCTGTGGTTTTATATGTTATTGAAGGTGCTGAATTCGGATCTGAATTTTTACAACTAAATTTCCTGGAGCGTTCCGAGATATTAGCAAAAAACAGCGAAATTTTCGAACTTTTTTCGGTTTTTTGCCCGTAACTCGGAGATCATACATTATATCGAAAAGACCGCCCCATAAAAAGTAATTTTGATAGTTTGAATAGGTTATCAGTTTTTTATCAAAATGTTCAAAGAATATCCTATAGCATTTGGAATTATTGTATCGCAATAATAACAACTATATGTATAATTCCAGCGTACAAAATTTCAATTGTGTCTTGTCCCCCACCCCACAGAATACAACAACAAAACAATGACCTACCCATGTAGCACTCGACGTCCTGGGGACATCCAGTTTAGGCCTGAATGTCCGGGACCTTTTCAAGACGTACTGAAAACGTCCATTTCTGGACGTACTGGGTACGTACGATTCCGATGTACTGGGTACGTCCAACTCTGGACGTTATCGACTTAATTTCTAACCTCGATCTCTGAAATCTAAATTCATATAGGAACTCTGCAAACATAAACATAATACAATGCTCACAATAAATTCATTATTTATTTGCCCCACCAGATCACAAAACATGTATTTAGGTATTCTCTGCCGTGATTATCTAATTCTATAAAAGTATCGATGTGATGAGTCAATCGGCATTCGCACATAATATTGCTTGTTAACAAGTGTTCTTCAGAGTAATGGGTTGAGCATCTGCCTTGTGATCTAAAGGTCATGGGATCGATCCCCGGTAGTAGCGTTTTTTTTTCAATTTTTTTCATTCAAAATAAAACTTTACTTTATCTAAACCTCTTTTTTGACTATCTGAGTGAAAAGAGGCGATTCTACGTTGATTCATGTATCCATGGTCCTGAATAGACGTACTGAGGATGTACAAACGCGCGGAATCTGGACGTCCCCAGTACGTACCTGAACGTCGACCGTACCAAAACTGGAAGTCCCCAGTACGTACGAAACGTCTTGGCCGGACGTTCTCAGTACGTCTTGGGGACGTACTCGTGCGCTATATGGGTATTTATACGTTTTAGAGCTTTAATGAATATAGGTTCATAGGATCCAAATCATATAAGTTGAAACGATGAACATGAGTGTGGCAACTACGACTCAAAGACGTCTCCAAGAAGGAGGGCTTTAACAGCCGTTCATCTTTTTTGATAATCACGAAATTTACATGAGCTCGATAGGAGTTTCAATGCTCTTGCATGATGATGCTCTGTCTCTGAGTAATTCGTAAAATATGAATTATCTGCGAAAACCGACGAAAAACGCTATTTTTTTAAAAGTACACGGTCAATTTTCAACTGGCTCTATCTCCGCACTCGTTAGTCCTACATTCATGAGCAATGACAATTATATACAGGCAATTTTATCTACTTCAACTTTTTATTGGGCAGCCTTTTCGATATAACGTATAATTTCCGAGTTACGGGCAAAAAAACGAAAAAAGCCCGAAAATTTTGCTGTTTTTTGCGAATATCTCGGAACGCTCCAGGAAACTTTGTTTGCAAAATCCAGATTCGAATTCAGCATCTCCAAAAACATATGAAACCACAGAGAAAACGACTACTTGAATTTTTTTCATGTGAAAATACCATTTGATTGGACTATTAGACCAGACTAGAGTTCCTAAATGTTCTTGACACTGCTGTTTTGACGTTTTTTGTATATTAGAGTACGGACACTAGACAAGCAGTGACAATCAAACATAACCACAAACGATTTTGAAGCAAATCATATGTTTTGCGAGAGAAGGACAAGAATATGTTTTTCGCTTGGATAAAGGATCCTCGCATCTTCCATCCTCCACAAGTCCTGGGAAGAGTACATCCATATCTTTCTCTGTCTCTGATTTTTGTATGAGAGGGCATAGCGTCTCCTCGAGTGGGTAAAAGGGTATCGAATATTTGTTTATCACAATAGTTCAGAATGCGGTAAAAATTGATAAATTTCAAGAAACATACTTTTATTAGTACAAAAGAATGGTAAGTTATAAGTAATTAATAAATAAACAAATGATATAGCAACAATAACAGCTGATTTCAGTAAGGATAAATAAAATAGGTTCTCCAAGACATACGGAATTAGGTATAAATGTAGCGCTCGACCACAGTTCGACTCACTATAGATCGCCGTTCACATTGCTAAAGGGGATTGTCGGTTGAACCCGGCCATCGGAAGATCATTTTCAATACCTAACATAAATGGTGCACTTGTTAAGAGTTCTTGTTCTGTGCTCTGATAATATCTTGCTTGTATCTTGGTACCCAAGAAGTGCTTCAAAATCCACTAATAGCTATGTCTGCTAGAACAGCATATTTTGCCTTAATTGAGTCTCACTTGAGATATGGAATAGCATTTTGGGGGGCCTGCAGTGATCATTTATTCCAGAAGAGTTCTGTTTTGCAGAAACGAGCCCTCAGATATATAGGCCGGGCGAAATCTAGAGATAGCTGTAGAGACTTATTTAAAAACTATAATATTTTAACTGTGGTTTGTTTATACATATTAGAAACAGCGTCTCTAATTCAAAAAAACAAATATGCCTTACAACTTGTCTCGTCACGATACAATACAAGGCAGAATGGTCAAATTAAGTTGATAAGACCCCGAACCACTATGGTCAAGAACTCGATCATTTATAATGGAATAAAAATATTCATCACCTTCCAACCGAGATCAAAGAAATATCATGTGATAAAAAGTTCCGCACTAAAGTCAAAGCACTACTCGTCCAAACTCCACTCTATAGCCTGGATGAATATTTTTCATTGGAGTTTTGATTTACTGAATAGGTATAACTTTTTTGAATTTTAAATGAAGTTAATATATTTTCAACTAGGTAGACATAGCTCTATACGAGCTTTTGAATGTTGTTTGTTATTTGTCGTACTATTGTCGTACTTTGTGTTATTTATTTTCATGTAATTTAACAAGCTTTGTCAACAAGTGTGTTTTTACTTATGACAATAAAGCATATTTTGAATTGAATTGAATTGAATTGAATGTAGTCGTCTAGCACTTCTCAACTACTCATGAACATGAACATTCAGACTTGGGATTTCAACTTTGAAGAAGTGATACACGTACAATATATTCAACCCTCTGATATAGATACATCAATCTGGTATATCAGAGTTCCACAAAGTGTTTTCACAAAATTATTATATAAGAGTTCGTATACGAAGATGATCTAAAGAATTTTTGGTTGAACAGGGATGTGAAATCAGTTTGAGTCAGTCAATTCAGGAAGTTTCTGCTATTTCATCATCAGATTATCTCCATGGTGGCATCACAAGCAATAACCAGAGTCTAAATTGGAATAAGGTTCTTTTCGATACTCGCTCAGTTTATAAATTGTGGGTTCGGCTCTTTCTCTCAATACGATCCTATTCTTCAACTTCCTACCAAGAAATTCAAATACCTCGCAAATTTTGTGGCCTGAACCTATGTTCCATGCCGGCTGCATCATATTCTGTTTCCATTTGTGTAGAATTACGTTATCCGATGGAAATTCGAATAGAGTGAATTGATTTCCCGTGTTCTCATACTGTTGGAAACTGTACAAACTTGCATCTTCCTCCTAATTCTCTCAATTTGTCAAACCTTTCAAATTCATGTCATGTACGTCCGTGTACTATCAGTTTCCGCTTTTTCCATCAATTTATTTGTGGTTATGTCTGATTGTCAATGCTTGTCATAGTGTCCGACTCTGATATACAAAAATTGTCAAAATCAGCAGATTGATATCAGCAGTGTCAAGTACATTTAGGAACTCTAGACCAGACCAGTTGGATGACCATTATCTTTCTTTCGGTACTATCATGAGTGAACTCCTTAACTAACCATGTTATTCTGTTATACCCATTTGTGGACATCTATATAGGAATGTTTCCAGTTTTGATGTAGATATCAAGTTGTGGTATATTCAGAAGAATTCCATTTGCTACTATTCATTATCCCTGTTATGAAAGAGGAAAGGACAGTTGAGAATATGATATATCTTTCGACTTGGAACTACATAACTGACTTGTTGTAATTCATTTTGCGAAAAGGTGCTAGGAAAACTGTATATATTACCTTCATTAACTTCCTTGATCTCATTCTGTTGTGCCAGCTTTTCAAAAGTACTTCAACATCTTGGGATATTGAATGAAGATCTGTTCTTTCATTTCACTTATGTATTATTATGAGCAGTTACAACAACATATTATGCTTTATGATGATTATTTGTCTTTTGAATCAGAAAATCATAAGTCGACATCATTCAACGTCATAACTTTCATGTTGATTTTACAGGTGTTTACCACGAAACTTCGTTCAACTATGTTGGAAAACACGCAGTCAGAGTGATTGGTTGGGGTGAGGAGAACAATGTTCCCTACTGGCTCGTTGCAAACTCCTGGAACGAAGACTGGGGAGACAAGGGAATCTTCAAAATCCGACGTGGAACGGACGAGTGCCGAATCGAAAAAGAAATTTCAGCTGGTCTGCCACGATTGTAGAAGTTGTTCTTGCCTTTAAGTTACCTACATATAATTATATATGGTCTTTAACATGATTATGTGATTTTATTCAATCACTCATCTTGTTGGTGTTTTCCCCATGCGATTCATAGTGAATGGACCTCTAGTATGTCACGACTACGTTGAAACTTTCCATTATAGGCGCTTTTTCCATGGGTTCGTGAACTTTTGCTTTGCTTTATGGTTTGCGAGAGGAGATATTCTAATATACAAAAGGGGTGGCTTAGAGTACGTGAGAACATTCAAACACAGCAACACTAATTTTCACAATAATGATTATTGGTCTTCAACAATAATTGACAAAATGTGTTTGCAACCAACACTGCACAGTTGATAAATGAATAACTGGAAATTAACAGCTGCTATCAGAATAAAACATGGGCGTATGGGATATCTTCATTTGGAACTGCATCATGAAACTGCAAGTGAATATGTCCACGTTCCATCAGGCTAACGAATGCCACTTCTGAAATGTGCTATCAGTAAGAAGGCATCCATTTCACCAGAAAAAAAACATGTTTAATCTTGAAAGGAAAATAAGGAGATGAACAATAAAAACACCTTTATACAACAATGAATTGGAGAAGTTGTTTGGATAAAATCCTATTCTTCGCAAAGTAATAATTGTGAGTGGAATAATCAAATGCAAGAGCAATAAAATAAAATCAAGAACCATATAAACTATCAACAAACCCAGGAGAAAATACAACAAACTACAAAGCGCTACTGGGTGCTAATATGAGCTACAGCTGTGCTGTGTGTATCTCCTGTAATATATGGAAAAAAGTTTCATATAAAAGTTTTATGGCACCACGAATGCCACATTTTAAAAATAATTCCTGATTCACAGGGTGTTGCATTTTTCCGTAATAACAAAAAAAATCTTTTTTTCAAATAGAACAACCCGTTAATTTGTCAGTCATCAAAATGGTTCTTTCGTTGCCTACTCAGCACTAAATTCTTCTCTCGCCACAATGCGTTGTTGCCAAGTTATTAATTTTTTCGAAAAAACTGGGAGTGATGCACGCTCTGAATGAAATAACTGTGATTGAGCTGTTTCTTCGAAGATCCGAATTTTGTCTGGTGGATTGACGTGAAGAATACCAAAGTAGCGTGTAATACTCTTATATTCATCGATTCTCATACAGGTTGCTTTAACTATTTCTTTCATTTTCGTCCACTTCGATTCAAGTTTATGCGATTTTTCCAAATGGGACACCCTGTATATCAGTTCGTCTCCTCTTTCTACATGGAATAACCTATCTGAGGATACCAACATGTTATATGTTATTCCTTACAGTTTCTTGATTATTTGTGTTTTTCAAATTATTCTTAGGAAATTGCAAGAAATACATGCCTAATATTTGAATTTCAAAACAAAAAGAACGACAACAATTACACTTATAATACATGTTCAGAATGTACGCTGCAAAATATCCTGATAGAAGGCATCCACAAGTGAAAAGTTTCGAAATATTGAAGGAAAAGATTCGAGAGAACAGGACACATCGAATACAATAAAAAGAATCTCGCTAAACAATATTGACTGATGAAAACCAATTAGCTATTAGTCTTGCAGTGGTAGAGAATCCTGAGTTGAGTGTAAGGGAAATGAGCAGAGATTTAGAGATATCGAAATCTTCAGTTGCCAGGAGTTTGAAATCTAACAAATTTCACCCCTATCATGTGCAACTGCACCATGAGTTGATAGAAGCCGATTTCATGACAATAGTGCAGTATTGTCGGACGATGCAGAATAAAATACGGAATATGCAAGATTTATGAAAAGCATTATGTTTACCGACGAGAGTACCTTCCACAGGAATGGATTCGTTAATAGTACAACTATCATTATTATAGTACCGAAAACCCCCATAAACTTCATGTTAACGATTATCAACATGAATGGAGCCTTAATGTATGGGCCGGTATTGTGGTATTATTGGACCATATTTTTTTGAACAAGGAGCGAATGGACAAGAGTTTCTGCGATTTCTCAGAGAAGACATTCCCAGATAGGTTGATCGAACACCTACCTACTCATATCAAAAATGAAATGTGGTTTCAGCTAGATGAGGCACCAGCACATTTTCGGAGAGTAGTTCGAGAGGAGTTGAATATAATATGTTTCCTGATGAGTGGATAGGACGAGGAGGCCGGCTAGGTTGCCGGACCTAACATCAATGGATTTTTATCTTTGGGGAACTGTAAAATCGGATGTTTATCGTACTGCTGCTACTACATGGGAGGACATGAAAATGAGAATTCGTGAGGCATTTCAACGAATTATGCCTTTTCATTTGAGCAGCATGAGAACAAACTTTATTTATTTATTTATTTATTCATTTATTTCTCAAACAGGTTTACACCTAATTACATGAGAAAACTATACTACATACAAACTTAATATTAAATCAGTCTCAATGTGCATAAAGATATCTGCTGATGTTTCCAATAATTTTTCGTTATAAATTTATAATTTCATCATAGTTGGTACATTATCGATGAACTGTTGTTTGGTTGACATATCAAGATTTATTCAACATTGTCAAAATATTGTTTAAGTAACTTGAAGAATTGTGGGGGGGGAAGAGCAATATTGATTTCTGACAGAAGGAGAACATTATTCGTTATCTTCAACATGGAGATTACAGGGGATCAGTTGTTCGTTGTTACCAGAGGGATTTCAAAAAACTGGTTAAGCCTTGTGAGTCTGATCGGTACTCTTCTTTTCAACAAAGAATGCATATACGGAGTGTGGTATAATTTGTTGTACAGTTTATAACACATTATAACACTACTGCTGATTCTTCGAGAATCGAGACTGCCTATTCAGTATGAAGAGATTGAGAAAATGTATTGAACAGGGTGGAAACATTTTGAACATGTATTATAAGTGTAATTATTGCCGTTCCTTTTGTTTTGAAATTCAAATATTAGGCAGGTATTTCTTGCAATTTCCTAAGAATGATTTATTGAAAAACACAAATAATCAAGAAACTGTTAGAAATAACATATAACATATTGGTATCCTCAGATAGGTTATTTCATGTAGAAAGAAAAGACGATCTTCGAAGAAACAGCTCAATCACAGTTATTTCATTCATCACTCCCAATTTTTTCGAAAAAATTAATAACTTGGCAACGGCGCATTGTGGCGAGAAATAAATTTAGTGCTTAGTAGGCAACGAAGGGATCATTTTAATGACAGGAAAATAAACTGGTTGTTCTATTTGAAAAATACATATTTTTTGTTATTACGGAAAAATGCACCACCCTTTGAATCAGGAATTATTTTTAAAATGTGGCCTTCGTGGTGCCATGAAACTTTTATATCAAACTTTTTTCCATATATTACAGCATTATCGGGATATCGAGCAAATACGCACTGTTGGGACACCCGGTATAATGATGTTACCTGAGTAAACGAATATGGTCACGTGGTGTTTGATCATTGTTCAAGACCCGGTAGTATTCCTATTGAACATATCGAAGGTGTTTCATTCCAGGACACAACTGGATTGAACAACGCATTAAAAAATTAATCTGTTTTATTACAACAAACAAAATCTCATCAAGTTCTACTTCTCTGAAACACCTTGGATATCGAAATCGAGCATTTTCAGATCTGTGTGACCTTTTATCGTATGGCTTAGAAGTTGAAAACTCAAACCCTCTGATTACACTTTTTTGATTGAAATTTGGTTATCAACACCTCTCCATTTCAGACTATTTTTAACACCTGTATGTACACAGAAAATAATTTTGTACGTAAAATTAATGAACGGCGGTCGTCAATTTTTTGAACATTAATATTACGAATCGATGATTATTACAATCATTTCTGATGATGGGTTCATACCGCAAGACACTGAAACAATGAACGAGCCAACATTGAACAATGAACGAGAAACATCAAAAGTTAATCATTTTTTTTATTCATGTGATGAAAAACTTCATTGAATCAACGTTTTATGTTTATTGATCTATGTTTTTCATCATTGGAGCAATAAACTTTTCGTCATGGATCTATCAACAACAAACATAAGAAAATAATGAATGGTCTTCATTGTTTCAATGAACACTAAACGTTGATTTCATGAAATGAAACATCAACTTCCAAAACAGGCGCCAAATTAATGTTGCCTACCCATGGATCAATCACGCCAAACATTAATACTATGAAAAGAAACATCAACTTCCAAAACAGGCGCCAAATTAATGTTGCCTACCCATGGATCAATCACGCCAAACATTAATACTTTGAAAAGGTTTCATAATAAGCGGTGAATTTTTCATTTGCCATTTTATTTTATTTCTATTCGTTCAGTTGTTAATGAAAAGTTGAAAGTGCTGGGTCGTGTTTTGTGTTTCTGTGGCTCGTATAGAATTCCTACCTATTTGTGAAATTGTGCCACATCAATGGGATACTAAACCTAACATATTTGAGAAAGGTGAGTCCTGTTAATTTTGAATTACTTTTTTCACAATTCTTACGATTAGGATATATTAACTCAGCAAGCATTGAACTACCGGGAGAATTCCGGCCTAGTGCAGGCAAGTGTGAGAAAGTGTCGATGCCGGTGTATTGGTGATGTCCGATGATTTCTCTATGCTAAGTAACCATCAGTTGAAAATACGATGATGGCCTTGTGATGGTATGATGTATAGAACGAGTTGAGCACTAACGAGTTGTGGCCCCTTGCTGGCCAATATCCTGTTCACTACTCGTCCCACTGGGGGATTTTCTGGGAACGTCTACATCAACAATCAGCTGATCATTTGGATAATTATTATATGTCACTCTAGTGATAGCGTATGTTTCGTTTTTCTCTGGTTTGTTGTCATATCATTGTGCTCATCACTTTCCCTGGTCGTTATAATGGCAGTTATGGTGGCAGGAGTATTCTCAATTGATAATATAGAAGATGGATTCTTCAATGATGATAATATGTATTGAGTAAGTATCAATCTACCTATCTAGTGTTCCAAATTTTGTTATGAAATGCATGTGTTTGTGATGATAATAATTGTAGTGGCTCCTACCTCTCCAGAAGCGTAACTATCATGGACTCTGCTTGGTTCGTTA